TGGGGCCGCCCGAGCGCCGCGCACCTGGCGCTGGTGCGTGTTGCGCGCCTGGGGCCGGCGCCTCCTGTGCGCCACGGGCGGGGCCGGCCCAGGTTGTCGGCGGACGCACACAAATGCCCTGGCGGGCGCCATGACACCTGCAGGTACCGCACTGGGGACCACTGCCTTAGACAGAGACTAAGGCTAGGTCTACACTGCAATGGTAAATCGGAAAAAGAAACAGAATTTGCGGTATGCAAATTGTGTATCTTTTTCTGCTTTACTGTTGAAAGAGGCTTTTCTGAAATTTGGTGCATCTACACGGTTCCAAATTTTGGAAAAAAGCGCTCTTTCAACAGACTCCTTATTTCTCATAAAATGAGGTTTACAGGGATGGCGAAAGAGCGCATCTGCTTTTTCGAAATTTTTTCATCCCGGAAAAGCAGTGCAGTCTGCACATAGCCTAACCGAATTAGTTGAGCTTAAACCAAATAAATCTGCTAGGGTACATCTATACAGCACCGTGTAGCTCGAAATAAGCTATGCAATTCGAGCTATGTAAATTGCGTAGCTTATTTAGAGAAAGTCAATTTCAAAATTTGACACGGTGTAATTCCAACACCCCTATTCCAACAAGTCCTTTAATCCTTGTAGAACGAGGTTTCCTGGGACATCAGATTAGCAAGCCCGTTATTTCGAATATATTTCAAAATAATGGGCTTGTTGCTAAGATGCGGAAATCGCTATTTCGGGATACCGGACATATCCCAAAATAGCGTCACTGTCTAGACGTACCCTTAGTCTCCAAGGACCCACAGGACTCCTCATTGTTTGTGCAGACTTCTAGGGTCTGTGGCAATGGGGCTGCCCCACTAGCTGGACTGCTCCCGGGTGGCCCAGAGCTGCAGTCACTGGAAGTTCTGCCAGGTGGACTAGAGACAGGGACTGCAGGGCTGCAAAGCTCTCTCTGCTCATGAGGTCTGATGGGATGTTGGAGTTTGGGCTCCCAGGCTCAACTTCTTAAAGCAAAACTTTATTTGGATACAAAGGGTTTTTTTTTTGAGAGGGTGGAGGTTTTGTAGGTTTTTTGGGGTGGAGAAGGGGATTCCCCTTTTAGTGGGAAAGTGAGAAATTCCTGGTATCGTTCCAAGGAGGAAACAACCTTTTGTCAAAAAATGTAGAATGTTC